TTTTTTTTTTTTTTGTTTAATAAAAGATAAATTAAGAAAACGAATTTCTAAAAATTGCTAAATCAACTCAAGCGAAGACACAATAAAAAAATGCTTACCAAGTCACACTACGCTGAAAAAATTAAAATCAATGTCGCATTAAGTTTAGTGTAGTTTGTTGAATTTGTAAAAGTCAATGAAAAAACATTTTTCGCATACAAACAAGACATCTTTGATTCAGAAACACGTGAGTCTTTTCAGATACTAACAACTTAACAAAGCAATTTTTTTTTTTAATTCATTATCTTATAACATACTTATCTATCGATTTCTATATAACCAATGAACACTGCGAACGTTATTCCCTTTTACACAGATATTCCATTAGATATCATAAGACACCCTTCACTCATCATTTTTGTACGCATCGTAAAAAGCTTTGAGGAACTCCCCGCTGTTGTAGTTATTAGTTAGTATTTTGGAGTCAGCAAGGAAACTTATTGAATGCGTTTTACAAGTAACTACTGCTGATTTTCATTTCAAGACCATTTCGCATTATCATCGACTTAATCATAAATATCCAAAGTAGTTACCGAAAACATCCGCCCATAAGTTACGCTCTAAAAACTACTAATTTTCTTTGTCTAACTATAAGTATATTTATGATAGTCATTTTCGTTTTTTTTTTTTGTTATCACATAAAAAGTGCGGCTAATAAGTGCCTTAAGCCTTAAATAACAAAGAAAAACGTTTTATTTTTAGTTAATCCTAAAATAGCGATGTGCCTTAACAAGCATTCCTCCAATTTGTTGAAGTCTTTTAAATGATCTCTTTGATCCCCTTAATGACCCGAGCCTTTTACTCACTCAATAAAATTACCTAAATAATATTTTATTTTTTATTTACATACATATGCACCTACTTGTAGCTAGCAAAGTGTCAAAAAGCGTGGCTTTGCGGATTCTGCTAAAATGTTTGTTTGGTAAAATGTTTTCTAAAGTTAGATTAGGTAGTTGCGGTCATCTATAATTGCCACTTAGGCTCAGGGCTCATTGTAATACCGCATGTAGGGTTAGCAATTCCCAGTCGCTCCTAAAGCCATTTTGAACTTTGCAGGAATTTAGAAGAAGAAGTGGAGAGTCTTCGTCTGGATTGAGCAGGGCACTATCATAACAGGTGCAGAATCCTTTCCTCCTGCTCTTCACTTTGATAGCTTCTACAGAAGCTATTCAACGCAGGCGAATGCTTGCCCTTTAGACAGTATCCTGTAATGACACATACTAATCTTCTATATGAGTACATACATAAATACCNCTTTGTCTAACTATAAGTATATTTATGATAGTCATTTTCGTTTTTTTTTTGTTATCACATAAAAGGTGCGGCTAATAAGTGCCTTAAGCCTTAAATAACAAAGAAAAACGTTTTATTTTTAGTTAATCCTTAAATAGCGATGTGCCTTAACAAGCATTCCTCCAATTTGTTGAAGTCTTTTAAATGATCTCTTTGATCCCTTTGATGACCCGAGCCTTTTACTTCACTCAATAAAATTAACTAAATAATATTTTATTTCTTATTTACATACATATGCACCTACTTGTAGCTAGCAAAGTGTCAAAAAGCGTGGCTTTGCGGATTCTGCTAAAATGTTTGTTCGGTAAAATGTTTGCTTAAGACGCAAAATCCCTGAAATGGGCATGGCAGTTTTAGGACTAAAGTTAGATTAGGTAGTTGCGGTCATCAATAATTGCCACTTAGGCTCAGCGCTCATTGTAATACCGCATGTAGGGTTAGCAATTCCCAGTCGCTCCTAAAGCCATTTTGAATTTTGCAGGAATTTAGAAGAAGAAGTGGAGAGTCTTCGTCTGGATTGAGCAGGGCACTGTCATAACAGGTGCAGGAATCCTTTCCTCCTGCTCTTCACTTTGATAGCTTCTACAGAAGCCATTCAACGCAGGCGAATGCTTGCCCATTAGACAGTATCCTGTAATGACACATACTGATCTTCTATATGAGTACATACATAAATACCCTCCAGTACTGCTGCAGGCAATCGCTACTGCACCGACTCCTAGGTAGAATAGCGAAAAACTACGACAGAGGGGGCCCATAAATCACATAAGTGACTACTCTAGTAACTCCCGGTAGTGCAGAGAGAGCCGATGGTGACTACCGCCTAGGACATTGCCTTGTAAAAGTAATCGATGAAATACACTGCAAGTAGTCGGTCGGTAATTGACGGTGTTTATCAGGTAGCTACCGATTCAGCAGTGCTGTAGTCGCTCCCCCGTACTGCAGGGTAGGTATATAATACGCGAAGGGATTTTTTGTTTAGGTCTTCAGATCTGCACCGTTGGTTCGATTTTCCAAATTGAGATTTAAAATTAAAGGGTTAGGGCTGTAGATGGCAACAAGGTTTAACTTTTTAAAAACAGTTTCCATCTTTTAAAAAAATCCAATCCAATTATTTAAAAAGTTAAATCAATTAGTACAATATGGTTATCAATGGAAAAGGTTTTGAAAAAGTTATATTGTTTACTACATGTAAGAGGGTTGCCACATGTATCACAATGTCAGATGAAGGATATTTAGGAAGCTTTTATTTTGCAACTCCTTTTGAAGAGTTTTAGTTTGAANCAACAAGGTTTAACTTTTTAAAAACCGTTTCCATCTTTTAAAAAAATCCAATCCAATTATTTAAAAAGTTAAATCAATTAGTACAATATGGTTATCAATGGAAAAGGTTTTGAAAAAGTTATATTGTTTACTACATGTAAGAGGGTTGCCACATGTATCACAATGTCAGATGAAGGATATTTAGGAAGCTTTTAGGTTGANAGTTATATTGTTTACTACATGTAAGAGGGTTGCCACATGTATCACAATGTCAGATGAAGGATATTTAGGAAGCTTTTATTTTGCAACTCCTTTTGAAGAGTTTTAGTTTGAACATTTAGCTTTAAAAAGTGGCATTTAAATAGTATAAAGTTAGATGAATTATTAAAAGATGGATTTCAATCGAAGTGGGTTTAAAAGGGTTTTATTTCTAAAATGTATTCAGGGGGGGCTGCCACCTATTCAAAAAATCAAAATAAAGTAAATTGAGACAATTAGGGAAACGAAATATGCATTACAATTTGGATATCAGACGAAAGAGAATGAAGGTTTTAGTTTGAAAATATTTTGAAGATGGTTGCCACCTGTTCGAAATGTCGAGCTTAGATAACTTATACAGAAGATATATTAAATAGATAATAAAACGAAATCTTTAGTTTATAAATCTGACTAACATTTGGAATAGTTTTTATTTTTTTTTTTAGCTTAATTAGGCTCATTAGTAGACCAGTGCGTTTAGCACGGCCGCGGGCAACAGNAGGTTTTAGTTTGAAAATATTTTGAAGATGGTTGCCACCTGTTCGAAATGTCGAGTTTAGATAACTTATACAGAAGATATATTAAATAGATAATAAAACGAAATCTTTAGTTTATAAATCTGACTAACATTTGGAATAGTTTTTATTTTTTTTTTTAGCTTATTTAGGCTCATTAGTAAACCAGTGCATTTAGCACGGCCGCGGGCAACAATTGCTTGGCAGTCTTGCAGGTGATTGACAGATGTCATTTGACCAGATTCTTAGCTTGTCCAAATGTCGTTTTAGTCTTCAGTGTTCCGTGAACATTCCCGTGACGATCCTCAGTTGCTCTTTGGGCAGAGTAAAAAAGCCTGCATCTCTTTGAGTTATGCCCATCTATTAATCGTTTGGCTTGGCGAAGTCCAATGGTGCTTTCCCAGTTCTGTACTCTCATTATTGTTACGCTTTTCCTGAGTTCTTCCCCGATCGTGTGGAGACCTACTGCAAGGACTGGTTCGCCACTTGTTATACGCGACAGTTTTATCGGCGCCGACTCAAAGCTTTTAGGGGAAGCGACGAGCTAAGGAGAGGCATACCTTGTCGTTCATGCGAGGGCAACACGTTTTCTGCTCTCATTTGCATGTGTAAATTTAATTAGCTGGCAATATTATTTCTGTGAGTAAATGAATCGAGCAACTCGAAAAAAAAGGAAATCGAAAAATAGCCTCGACAAAAATGTTCACGTGTAAGCTCGGTCTGAGAGAACTTTTAAAAAATTATCTTCACTTTTCATTTTTTTTTTTTTTTTTTGTTTGTTTCTTTACTTATGGTGTCCCAGTAATTTTTATCATTTTGACATTTGTATGCATGCTCTTTGCTTGCATAAATCAAGGATTTACTATAAAATAAGGTGAAAGCTACAAGCTGTTAATTTAAAGTAAACTAAAAAGTATGTACATATTTTCGAGCCACAAATAATTGCACCGTACGCACCAACTCACTCGACATGAGATCGCTTAATTTATTATTTGTTTGCTGTTTCAGATGCTAACCCACTCCACTCAAAAGTTATATGCTTCAGTTTCTATAGCCACGTCTCCATCCATACATATGAGATGCATACGCCAATCATTCCCATACTATTTACACTCAATCATATATTTGGTTGCAATATAAAAAAAGACACTGTGCCTTTCTAAGAGGTATCATAAAAAAAGAACTAACGAAATATAGTAAATCAAAGACATGTACACAAATTGCACTCGTATATATTTTTATTTCCAATCATTTCCAAATCAGAAACTAAATAAGAGTCCCTAAATAAGCTATGTATTTATACATTCACATATATTTAGATATGTGCACACTTTCTCAAAGAAATTGCAATTAATTATAAACTGTATTATCTGCTTTTTTTCTGGAAACGAAAATCGTATGCAACAAATTCCCAAAAAAACTTGGCTTGGAAACAATTTAATTGCGCGTTTTGAAATATTAACGCATGAAGGTACCACACAAGCGCCCGAGGAGGATCACGGCGTTCTAATTATAATAACACTAATCGTCGTCTCGTTCCTAATCTGTCTCCTATGCACACTTTGTCACTCCAGAAGAAAACGTAGAGCTAATGTGCACCAATTGGGCTTGCATCGGAACGCGCACTACGATTCGCAAACCAGTGCGACCGGTAAGTGCAATAGGAGTCGCTTTATGCGAATAGAAGTCAATGGGAAGTATATACAGCCCAATTCCAAGTATTTTAATTTTAATTTCTAAATTAATTTCTGATATGCAGAAGTAGTAAAGTCACTGTTTGAAGGTGATAAGAGATCACATTGATGTTTGATAATTTTTTTATGACAGTGTTTTGTACTTTTTTCCTTATATAAAAAATTACTTTGTATTGTAGAAAATGCATGATGTCACCGAAAAAATTCTCAAAAATCAACGGTATTTTTAGCAACTTCAAACTGTGACTTTATTATATTACATTTTAAACTGCATCCAAAAAATTACAATTTTTTAAATTTGTAAATTTTTTTTTTTCTAGTTTTTGTAAAAGGTTTGAAGTTTAGACTTATATGGATTTTGTTAGATAAGGAGCTGAATTTTAATAAAAATTTAATGAACCTTAAAAAAGCAAAAGAAAAGTAGTCAAAACTGGTAAAAATTGTGATGTGCTATATTTTGTCGCGGGTTGTATGTATATGTATGTATCTAAATATTATATTTTATTTATTATTAACATATATACAGTGACAAACCAAAGTATTGACACGGAAATATTTCGAAATATATGCAAGTTTTTTCTTCTGATTTATGTTCAATCATTTTTTTTTTAAATTATAGTTCCTACTACACCAAAAAAACATAAAAATAAAATATCTAAACTTCTGTGCAAAATTCAATAAACTTGCAACTTTCGATTGAGATTGATTGGAGATATTCTAAATATTACCAAAAGTCAACGCGATTTTCTAGCAACTTCAAACATCCACTTTATTATACCAAAGTCGAATGGGCTATAAAACTGCTTACTAAGAATTTTTCCAAAAAATCTGAATAGAAAATTGCAAATTTATTGAATTTCCTGAGTTTTGCACAAAGTTTATAGATTTTGATATTATGTTTTTTGTGTAGTATGAGCTACATTTTTATAAAAAATTATTGATAATATATTAGAAAAAAACTTTGCATATATTGTGAAAAATTATCTGCGCCAGTACTTTTGTTCGTCACTGTACATATGTATGTACGCTTCTTTTTATTATTTATGTAATGATTTGTTTGTTTTGTATTTTCAGTTTTTAAAAAATTTTAGACAAAATCAACATATCTCAATAACACATACCTTCCTCTCCTTCAAATTATTGCGTTGCAAATTAACGCTTTAACAGGTAAAGTTTAGGTAGTATGTACGTGTATATGCGCCTACGTTATGCTGTGCCGAAAAAGCCAAACCAGTGTTTTTTTAACGCATATTATTAGTTTAGTATAACAACTATGTTAATAAAATTTTATAAAATTCATAAATCTTTTTTAATTGGAACTTTCACAAATATAAGTAGTAGCCGTAATCGATTTGCCAACAGTTAGATTAAAAATGAGAATGTGTGTGTGAGCATGAGAGTGTATTTTAAACCCAGCCAGTAAAATCATTGTAAACGAGGNGTAATCGATTTGCCAACAGTTAGATTAAAAATGAGAATGTGTGTGTGAGCTTGAGTTTGTATTTTAAACCCAGCCAGTAAAATCATTGTAAACGAGGTCGTAACTGGATATTTTCTCGAAGAAAACCCGGCTAAAAAGTCATTTATAATAGCCGTCTACGATTCGTTTTCGAGTACTTTTTCGCTTGAAATTGTCGATCGCCTACGAACAGTCGTAAACGGATCGAAAAAGCGTTCATATGCGAATATATTATAAAATATTGTGANCGTAACTGGATATTTTCTCGAAGAAAACCCGGCTAAAAAGTCATTTATAATAGCCGTCTACGATTCGTTTTCGAGTACTTTTTCGCTTGAAATTGTCGATCGCCTACGAACAGTCGTAAACGGATCGAAAAAGCATTCATATGCGAATATATTATAAAATATTGTGATTCAAGAAAAATTTCCAACAGAATGAAAACTTTTTCTTGTGCTGACAAATTACTACAAGCCTCGTTCTTTTACTTTTTTTTTTGTTTATCGTTTACGAGCCTTTTTCTAACTTTTCACCGATCGAGAATCCATCTTAAAACATAATGTTCGTAAAATGTACGTTTTCTTGCTGGCTGGTAAATTATATGGCTGGCAAACGTCAGACTGCCTCTCAATGATTGTACCTTGTAATGTTTTTGTCATGATTTTAAGTATCTATTCGACACCCAATTCTGAGTACATGTATCAAAGTGATGAATACAACAAAGTATTTTTCAGTACTGAGTATTTTCGAGTTCTTTTGTGAGTACTGAGTACTTTGGAACCAGTTAGCGACAAGTTTCGGACCGATATCGCACTTGTTGACGTAAAAATATTTCATATCATACGTCAACAAAACCGATACCGATTCGAAAAATGTCGCTAACTGATTACAGAATCAGCCTACAAAAATGATATCGTCCGATTCACCTGGAACAAAAATGCTTCAAACATGTAAGAGTTTCTCTGTATTATAGCCTCGAACCGACATATATACATCTTTCATTTGAATCAGTATTAAAAGCTGTATTGGCTCCTACATTCGGGTTTTGATAGGCGACTCTCCCCTGAAACGTTTTTCCATATTTTTGGGCTATGTGTGCTTTTATTCGAAACCTAAATGTGCCGGTACCGAGTATCGAGAGTACTGGATACTTAAAAGTATTGACTCAGTACATCACTACTGCTGTCATCTCGCCTGTGATGTCAGCAAAACAGCTGATTCTGTCAAATTCACTGAGAGCCGATTAGCGATATTGCCATCGGCGCCACCTTCTATATTATCTGCACCGTGGAGCCAACTTCAAGCAATTTTAAACAATTATAAAAAGCCATGCTCCGAGAATGTCTGATTCTTGTATTTTTTATTCAATTTTTTTTTTGTTCCTTTTTACTCAATTTTGATCATATGCTAACAGATATAATATAGTGTTTGTATATATGTATAGTTATTAACTATGTTTCTATATATATGTTTTAAAACTTCTTCTATTACACTCTACTGCCGCAGGTTTGAGTTCAAGCCGTCGTCATTTGCAAGGTGGCCCCAGCATATCGGGCAGCCTGCATGGCATCAATAGCGGTTCTTTGATGATACCACCTGCACCGCTGCCACCCACCAGCGTACCACCACCGCCACATATTTGCATTGCGGGCGTCGATGGCATCAGCGGAGGCATACTAATTAACGACGACGATGGCCTAGACGATGAGGATGAACTCGATCTCGACAATGAACAACACGAAATATTTATCAACGACGTACGATTCGACGATGATGAGCACCATCTGGAGCAAATGCGTCATTTGGAAACTGTTTAACAATTGGTGAAAGGACTGGGAGAGATGAAGGACATCAAACAATTGTTAAAACAATATGCGGGATTTTATAGAAATTTACAAGCATAGGAACAGGCTTAAGTCAAATATAAAATTATATATACATAAAATAAAATGAATAAAATATTGATAAATAAATTCGCAGATGCATATGTAAAAGAAATATTAGCTATACGATTAGTTAAGTCAGATTTTTAAAAGAAGGAACAAGGAATAAGAATTCCTAAACTAAGATATGAAACGCTGCTAAAAAATAAAGTGAGTAACTGAAGAGAAGGAACTTTAGGCAGATACATTTTGGATTTAAGGATCTTTTTTTGTTTGACTTGTGAAAGCGTAAGAGGAGAAAAAATAAGTTTCGCTTTAGGGTAGTTTCACTGTTCTTTCCTTTATTACAATAAAGGTATTCATCAAATAGAGCAGATGACCTGGCACTCTGACAGGACAGCAGATTAGCTCAAGCAACGCGTCTTGTCAACAGTCGTTGCTTAAGCTAATCACCTATTTTGCCAGAGTGCCAGGTCACTTGCTCAATTTGGTGAATACCCCTAATGAAAATACATATATAAAGAAAAAGGCGTGTCGATGAACTGTGTGGATACAATTGAAGTTTATATTTACTTTGATACATACTTAAATTAATGTACGTATATAAATATATACATATGTACATATAACATATGGCACGTTTAATAATATACAGATGTAACTCAAAATTAACGTTCGTGATAAGGAGAATATATACAGCCAAACAGATGACTAAACTTCCCAAAAATGGCGAAGATATTTGTATTTCGATCTGTATTTTGGTATACCAACTGTATGAATTGTTCAAACTTTGATTGCGTTTTCCCACAAAATTGAAATTTTGAAATGACTCTGTATATTATTAAAAGTGCGATATATGCGTAGTATGTATGTAAATGCAAAAGCACAAATACGCGCTTCTTGGAAGATCATTTAGAACATTTTATTGTAAAATAATTTTCATAAAATTAACATTGAGAGTTAACAATATCGAGAATGATAAGAAGCAAGGAAGCTTTTATAAAAAGCTAATATTTCTAGATCAACCTTAAAGTCGTAAAACGTTAGCGAGAGGAAAATAAGAACGATAAATTTAAAATAAAAATAAAAGTTAAGAGCAAATGAAAATGGAAATGTTAAAATCTAGAAAAAAACATTCTCAGAAATATAAAAATTCTCAGTGGCAAAAGATATTTATACAACGCATTAAAGAGTAAAAAAAGCGAAATAAAACGATGACACCCTTCCAAATTAAAAAAAAAAAAAAAAACGGAACAAAGTTGTTGATTTTTATATTTGATACGATTATAAAAGTATTTCACATTTGATATTCTTAAGGTCACACCTAAACAATATACCGCAGATGAATGTTTTAGCACAAACCTGCACATTTCTTCATTCGTTCAAAATCCAACATAAAGAAATTTACTCATAACATAATTCATTTATTACATTGGGTCAGACGGCCTGACCAGACCAATATGCGAAAATTACTAGTCTCTTGGACGATCTGAAATCTGGTTATTATTCTGTAAGCGCCTCAAAATCCCTTATTCTTAGCAATCGTGGAAAAGAAAAAAGTAAAGCAAGAAAAGAAGGTGATTTACTTTGTTTTCGTTTATGTGTGTTAACGGTCAGTTTTTCACTAAGCTTCTGTAATCGCTTGGAATATTCAGAAAAGGTTCGCTTTTTCATCGCGGACTAGAATTGTTCTCAAACACTTTTCAAATTCAATTCTCACTTCTCGCACAAGAAGAAAGTAACTCCGCGTGAAGACCTCCGACCAGGTCTGCCAACTTGGTTAAAACCGTGACATTTTTTTTTTGTGCTCTATTTTACTTCAATTGGCACTTTTGAAAAATATTACTACATACATATGTATTGCAATACATTTTTGTGATATCCTTTGCGTGTACTTCTTTTTCTCAGCTATAATTTTCTAATTTCTTAAGTCCATAAAACTGATTTATCTTATTTTTGCATTGACCTTTTGCGTGTACTTCTTTTTCTCAGCTATAATTTTCTAATTTCTTAAGTCCATAAAACTGGTTTATCTTATTTTGGCATTGACCTTTTGTTTTAGAAATGTGGTTCCTTTTTTATTGCTGAATGGGAGGTAAATAAATTATCATTTTCCGATTAAAAATAATGGCATGTTTTTGGTACTTTTATTTTCCTATTTAGTACATTTTTTCTAACTGTTATCCTCAATATGCCGCCTCATAGCAGAGGATAGTTGGCAGCCCTGCTTCCGTCGTGAGGTCAAATCGTCGTGTAGGTGGTTACGAAAATTTTAGGAGAAAATTGTGAATAAATTATTTAATAAAAATAAAAAAATAATAACATANAACACTTTTCAAATTCAATTCTCACTTCTCGCACAAGAAGAAAGTAACTCCGCGTGAAGACCTCCGACCAGGTCTGCCAACTTGGTTAAAACCGTGACATTTTTTTTTGTGCTCTATTTTACTTCAATTGGCACTTTTGAAAAATATTACTACATACATATGTATTGCAATACATTTTTGTGATATCCTTTGCGTGTACTTCTTTTTCTCAGCTATAATTTTCTAATTTCTTAAGTCCATAAAACTGGTTTATCTTATTTTGGCATTGACCTTTTGTTTTAGAAATGTGGTTCCTTTTTTATTGCTGAATGGGAGGTAAATAAATTATCATTTTCCGATTAAAAATAATGGCATGTTTTTGGTACTTTTATTTTCCTATTTAGTACATTTTTTCTAACTGTTATCCTCAATATGCCGCCTCATAGCAGAGGATAGTTGGCAGCCCTGCTTCCGTCGTGAGGTCAAATCGTCGTGTAGGTGGTTACGAAAATTTTAGGAGAAAATTGTGAATAAATTATTTAATAAAAATAAAAAAATAATAACATAAAATAAAATGTAATCAGCAAAGGAAAAAACGAAAAATGAAAAACCAAATATTGAATATTGAAAATGTTTCGTAACGAGTTCAGCTGCTCTGCAGACAGGATAATTACTACTTCGTAGGCCATCGCCATGTTAAAAAATACAGTTGAAAGCATTGTTTTGGGTTGGGATAGATGAAGAACCAGTAGTGTCTCTTTTCAAGCTAGCTCGGCGCCAGTTCTGAACCAATTTTATTTTCTGCTGGGAAATTACATATTTCTAAGTGTGTGAAATTGCTGAAGTAAACTATTACTCCCCACCCCTCTCGCCCAACAAAAACCGGATACAGACCGTCTGAAAAATCGAGCGTCTGCAGGCTTATTGGAATACATATGACCAAGCATTTTTCAACTTACTCATTCAAAATTAAGTCACTCGCTCGTTTGGCAACACTCTAATGATAAAAAGTCAAGCATTCCACTCATTTAACCACTCACTGTATTATGCGGCCAAAAACCATATACATACATAAATACATGCAAGCATACATAGAACGATAGATACATCAATAAGAATTGATTCTAAAATGTGCTCAATAAATTAGTAAATATACATATGTACATGCATACAATAAAAGAAAAACAATACGTACGAGTCTTATTGCGAATAATTAAATAAATTACTGACATTCATGCATGCATACATACATATGCATTTGCGTATGTATAAATGTAATAGTACTAAGCCACAAAAAACGTGAAATATTCAAAAACAACATTTTTGATGGCAATATTACGTGTTTACTACATGAAGCAACAAAACTACAAATACAATGGCAATTGGTAGTTGTTGCCTGCCATTAGCGCTTAAATACTGAATAATAATAAAAGTAATCAATTAGTGACTATCAAAACTGCATCTTCCAGAACAAACAACAAAAAAATAAGCACCTAAAAACATTTATTTGAAAGCATCGCAATGCCTAAATTATGAAGGAGTAAATCGAATAATTAAATGTAAAAGTAAAATATATAAAACGAATGTGTGTATAGTAGTGCAAAGGGGAACGTAATATGGAAAAATTATCATTGAATTAAATTTCATACTAAGCAGGGTTACGAAGTACATCGGGAATTGGTTTTGAAAAGGGATGTGCCGGGTATTCAGATTAAGACTATAAATTTTAATTTGAAAAACCTTTTTAACAAAAAATTGTTTATTGTATTTTTATTAAACGTTTAATAAGTAAAGCTAAAAATTTGCATATTTTTTCAATATGAAAGGCAGCTTTTCCGCATCAAAGTTNAAAAAAAAAAAAAAAAAACGGAACAAAGTTGTTGATTTTTATATTTGATACGATTATAAAAGTACTTCACATTTGATATTCTTAAGGTCACACCTAAACAATATACCGCAGATGAATGTTTTAGCACAAACCTGCACATTTCTTCATTCGTTCAAAATCCAACATAAAGAAATTTACTCATAACATAATTCATTTATTACATTGGGTCTCTAAACACACTAGTCTTTTCAGACGGCCTGACCAGACCAATATGCGAAAATTACTAGTCTCTTGGACGATCTGAAATCTGGTTATTATTCTGTAAGCGCCTCAAAATCCCTTATTCTTAGCAATCGTGGAAAAGAAAAAAGTAAAGCAAGAAAAGAAGGTGATTTACTTTGTTTTCGTTTATGTGTGTTAACGGTCAGTTTTTCACTAAGCTTCTGTAATCGCTTGGAATATTCAGAAAAGGTTCGCTTTTTCATCGCGGACTAGAATTGTTCTCAAACACTTTTCAAATTCAATTCTCACTTCTCGCACAAGAAGAAAGTAACTCCGCGTGAAGACCTCCGACCAGGTCTGCCAACTTGGTTAAAACCGTGACATTTTTTTTTGTGCTCTATTTTACTTCAATTGGCACTTTTGAAAAATATTACTAAATACATACATATGTATTGCAATACATTTTTGTGATATCCTTTGCGTGTACTTCTTTTTCTCAGCTATAATTTTCTAATTTCTTAAGTCCATAAAACTGATTTATCTTATTTTTGCATTGACCTTTTGCGTGTACTTCTTTTTCTCAGCTATAATTTTCTAATTTCTTAAGTCCATAAAACTGATTTATCTTATTTTGGCATTGACCTTTTGTTTTAGAAATGTGGTTCTTTTTTTATTGC